AGATTTTCAGAGAGAGGGGAAACTGAAGTCAGTGACAGCTGAAACTCTGTAGCGTGTTGACTTTTGTTTCTGCTATTTTCTCTGTGGTTTTGTTATTATCTCACAGTAAGCAGCATAGAAGAATGATGCGGCATGTTCCTTTTCCATAGACTGGATCTTTTTTATCTGTCCGTGTACTGAATTTTGGGGGACAGTGTGACTTATTGCTGTAACATAAATTTGTCCCAATTTTTAGTCTTCAGTTATTAAACTGATAATTTGCAGAACAGTATCTGGACACATAAAGAGGCAATAATTACTGTAATGTTAAAAAGAAGAAGAAAAATAAGTGAGCTAAGACAAAGTTGCTAAGTTTAAGCATTAGTTTCATATACAATAAATACCCTACCATTTCACCAAAGGGGAGATACTGACTCTTTCAAGTTTGCATTGGAAGAACGACTAACAAAATAAAAAAGGGGTTATAATTGTGGGCTGCAGTTTACCAGTAAAAATTGAACGGGGACAAGTTTAAAGATAGTTGATTTTATTCAAAACTTTAATTAATAAAAAGTCTAAATGCAGAGTGCAGCTGTGGACTGGGTGAATGGAGGTTTCCTGATACCTAAACAGAATTAATAGTTTTTCAGTTTGACTGCTGTTTCACTGTGACCCCCTTAACAATTCTTAAGCATTGGACTATTGTATCTAAGACTAGAACATTAAAGCACTTTAGCTTTAAGAAAGAAGAAAATGATGTCATGGCTAGAAGCACAGTGGAGATAGAACATCCTTCTCTGAGAAAGGGCTGTAACAAATGAGCATCAGAGGTTGGGTCTTTTCACGGAAGGGATACAATCAAGAACGTGGGTAGGGCTGGAGGGACTCAGGATTTCTTAAAAATCACACAATGCCCACATCAGCAACGTGTAATAAATTGAATAAAGACAGTCATCATTTTGCGAAGGAAAAGAATTTTGTGTTGGGAATTTTAGACCTGTAGCAACGAGAAGGCGAGTTAGGGGTGTTTGTAGAATTAGATTACAGGCAAAATATGGGATCTTAACTACAGTCCTGTGTGTTTCAAAATAGAAGTCTAAAAGTAGGTGTAGATTTGGTCAGCAGGGCCACTAAGTGCCCACTATGTGAGGGCCACTAAAAACTGGCCCTAAAATATCTTGCTGCTTAAAACCGCTGTTCAACCTCTTTATTTAAAGATGAACTGTTGGCAGGGGGTGTGGTGGTGTTTTTCATTGTCGTTGAATTGGGGCTCATAAATGGGTGTGGCTTTAAACGGCTGTTCTACAAAGTATATATTCGTGGCTTAAAAAATGCACCAGCAGTTTTGGGAATTTCTTTTAATAATGGCTCTGTCTGTAAAAACATTGGGAAAATATTTTTCTCCATTGCAAAATGCTGTGCTGATTAATCACGTACCTAACTCATAAGCTCCCGTACCAGAAGCATTAGTATTTGTTCCTTTTGTTTCTTGTAGAACTTTTTGTTTGCCTTTCCTTTTCTCAGTTAACGTTGGCTTTCTTCTCCTTTCCTGTCTCCTTGTCACCTCAGGCCTATACTTGAATCTCTTTTCACATACAAGCTCTCATTCATTCCTTTTTTTTTTTGCCTCTGTTCTGCCTTCTCGCTGTCATTGAGCGCGCTAGCTTAGCTAAATAATCTGTACCAGAACTGATGGCACAGTATTTATGTTAATTCTTACAAGTGGATTTTTTTTTCTTTCCTTTGATTACATAAATCTCTTAAAAAGTTTAATTTGCTGTATCTAGGGAAATTTTGGGGAAGATCAGTAACAAAAAGTGTATGTTGTTTATTTACAAAAATCCAACGTCTGTGAGTGGCTTTATTTTGATAAAGTAACCACTTAAAATAGGCTTTTCAAATTTAAAGGTTTTTCTCTGTAATTAGTTCAGTGGGTTGGATCTTCCCTTTCTGTTCAACATTATCAAGCTGCTGTTAGATGCAGAGGTAGGGGAACATTTTAATTGATACTCTGAATAAATGGGCAGCTTCTTTGCAGTATTGATTAGAAAAAAGCCTTTGAAGAACAGGACGTAGGAGTAAGTGTAAGCAAAGAATCAATTGTTTTGCTTGCACTTGTAATCTTTTTTTTAAGCTTTTCATCAGTTTATAGGTTTATTTTGCTATTTGCAGTGGTTCACAGTGGACAAATACGCTGTAAGTAAGCTGTTCTAATGACTTTATTGCTGGATTGGTAGAGCTTTGATCTTGCCATGGTACGCAGAGTAGCGTACAACGTTGTGGAGTAAGAGTTACGAGAGGAAGGGTGAAACACTAGGACAGCGTGTTAGGGGTGTGCTGTTCTGAGAGCTAAGATTTAAGATTAGCTAATTTCAGCAGAAGGTATGGTGTCTTTTAAACACGTGTGCTTACATGTGGATTTGTAATTTTGATACTGTAAAAGTGTGGTTTCTTTAGGGAATTTAAGTTTAAATATATATATTTGCATACATATATGTGGTATTTGAGAACTTTTACAAATGCTTCATTAACAAATAATATAAATAGCTGTTTTCCTAATGTTACCAGCTTCTTAGAGTTAAGCACAACTAGTTACAAATAAAATGTCTTTTCTGTTACATTCTCCTGTGAAAGTGTGGTTCTACTCTTTAAAACCAGTTCCACGTAAGAAGATGGGTGCATTCACAGCTTTATCTGCTCAGTGTTTGAAATAACTTGATGTTTCCAGCCTCTCACACTTGTTAGGAACGTGGCATTTCAGCTGGGTGAGCAGGTATGGCTTAAGTGTGAGTAGAGAATCTTTTAGTGGGTAATTTTTACCATTCAGATCCCAAGGCAAGAGTTACTTTAAGATAAATAGCTTTGTCCTGGAGACAATGTGAAGCAAAAAATTCGGAAGTTGTTAGTGACTGGTTTTGAGTTCCCCCCCCCGCCCCGGTGGTTTTTTTT